TGCGATGGGTATGCTATCACATGAATTGTACTAGGAGTTAGAATAAGAACTCCAAACGAAACTGAATGTTCAGGAAGAGGAAAGAACACGAGTACAGAAAAAAAAGAGTTCACATGCATAAGCAGAAGGCTAGCTTGTGCGCTCAATTGTATTTCCGCCGCATGCAACGCACACACGCTGCCTCAATTGAGGATTCCTGCGACCGATGGTGGTGCTATAACAGTGTAGTTGATGTTGGTACATGGCGCTTACGTAATTCAGCTGTGTATAGTAAACATATTTTTATGTGTGCGTATTTTCACCATAGCTTATCGCAGCGCACATAGGACATAGGAGCCTTTGTAAGTATTTTTGATAGAGCTGTGTCCACATAACATCCTTGACGAAGACCATCCGGAGGCTCTTCGAAGCCGAAAGACTGGTGAACTTTGGAAATATGCAAAGTCTATAAATCATCTATTCATCAGGTCTACAGTCGCACCTTAGGGAACAAATTTTCATTGGTACTGTGATCTGCATGTCATACTGCTTACCTTAGGCTGAGGTTTGGGTCATCTGAGGTCTTCATTTACGTTCTGCGGAGGGGTTTTTATAAGGGCGCGACTTAATACCTACTGTAGATAGAGGGCTACCGTAGGCATCGCTCGATAAAGCAGCCTCCCCAGTTTTCAGTAGCAAGCAAAAGGCGCAGAAAGCCTTCTGTGGTCGTATTCATCAACGAACCCAGTGGGTTTCGGAACCCACTGGGTAGGCTTACCCATGAAACCGGTATTCACGAAGCTAGTGGGTTAGCGAACCCAGCAGTACTTATGATGAATATCGATCCTGCCTGTGGGTTCGCAAAATTACGAAATCGCGGAACTGGGCTGCGGAACTCAATGGTTCGTTGATGAATATGGCCACTGATGTGAAGGCGTAAATGGCCGCCGAACTTTAAAGAATTCATGTTTATCTGAAAGCTATCTACTGTAGCCCTAGAGTAAGAAGCTATCCTGAAAATTAGGTCAAACACGACAGATCTCGCCTAAATATGCGAATTTATTTAGATTCAAGAGGAAATTCGTGTATTGTATGTATTAGTATATTAGTAAAACGTGTATGTGTATTAGTAAACGTATCAGTGAACGTGTGAACTAGTACAAGTGAGGATATAGCCTATATATGGTATATTGGTTGTGTTGTTTTGAACTTTTTTCCACAGATATTTAAGATTTGACTGAATGGACAAAAACTTCATTTTGCTTTGGTCTTTTTTCAGTGTTTTCGAAGAGTTTCTCTTCATCGCTTATTATATGAATGAACGTCCTTCTGGATTTTTCTCCTCCGCGTGTCGTTTCAAATGACTTCTTCGTACTAAAGGAAAATTGTCAAGAAGCTGTACATTTAAGCGAAAAGTGCACATACTACCTCGGAAATATTAGGATGTGAAGTGGAACCAGGAAGCCAAGTGACTTCGTTAGCTGCCACTAGAACGAAGCAAGCAAGAAAGAGAACGAATGTTTTGAACGAGATCATCACTGAAATAGATCTGTAATGTTAGTGCTGAAAAAGGCACTTTTTGAGAATCAAGTATGAAAAGCGGAACGAGTGGAACAATGTTATTTCGAGTTGCAATTATCGAGTAGAAAAATTCCTAAGAATTTCTCCATAATCATTGTGAGTACCAAAGTTATATAAAGAATAAGCGCGAGGGAGAGTCCAGCTCATATTAGCAACAGCAATGTTTAAACTTAACTTGTTCACAGAAAAAGAAATGATAGGGAAACTAATGACGATTTGCGATTCTAAAAGAAGCGCGTAGAAACAATTTTAACAGTGTTGGCTTCTTTTATAGCGTTTTCGACCACACTTACGTCATGTTTATATGATAACTTCAATAGGAGTCATGTGCGTAGCCCTCCCCAAAAGTGCAAAATAGATTTCGCACGGACTACGGGGAAAATGTGATATAGGGCATCCGAAAAATCGTGACGATGACGCGACCGCGCGCGACACGCAAGTGCTTACCACACCACATTTTCTTAGATTTATCTCTACTTGATTTTCTGCTTACATGTGATAGTATTTAGATGATGGAAGTGACTAAGCTGAGCGTTGAGATGATGCCTTTTCGTGTAACTGTTTTATGCTCCTGTAGGTGCAAAAGACCTCAAAATCCATCGTCACGTATGAAAATGGCCTATACCTAACTTGTGGCCGAATTCATGTTCTTTGTACATCATGGTAGCAGGTGCAAGCGACTGCTCCTATTATAGTTTTCAGCTCATTTCACAGTTATCTATCTGGTGATTCAAAACACCAGAAATATGTATTATGCAAACGTTGGAGTTGGTTGTTTAGATAGAAAGGAGGGAGCAGACGATAGTGCGCGAAGGGGGTGGAAAGGCGACAGTCTAACACTTTCACAACAAGGCCGATTTTTCGATTACTGTCGTTTCGGACCAGAGCTATTTTCGCTTTGTCAAATTTAAGACTCACCGTCGTATTGTCCGAAATGGTAGTCTTTTTGAAAGAAATTCAAAACATGTCTCCTAGAGTTTCCCCACAAGGGTTATCGAAGGCGCTGATTACCGAAATATGATTTATTTCAGTTTTTGGCAGTATACGGTGAGGTTACAGTAGTCATTCTGTGCGAACCTAACATCATGGATTTTCACGTAAAATTGTTATTTGGAGTTGCTTAATGTGCTGATCACAATTAGTGTTCCATTTTATTCATTACTTTCCCACAGTGGGACTACGGTAGCAATACCGTAGAGTTTTCGTAAGAATTTAGAAACTGATGTAAGAAGGCGGTAGAAATTGAGACTATCACTGTCGTAATCAGCATGCTAAATTACCTATATATGCAAAGTTTGAGCTTTCTAGGATGAACGATGCGAAAAATCAATAAAATCAATGAAATCGATAATTTTTGATGGGCTGACATCAGTCTTGCCCTCACTGTTTTTCTCGTGCATGTAAACTTGAATTTTCAAAAACAGCGCCACTTTGCGAAAAATTTGAGCTAAAGTCTGTGCCTTACCTCTATTTATTTACAGTATACCAGTGGCGTACCCAGGATTTCGGCTCGGGGGGGGGGGGGGGGGGGCGACAAAAATTTTTTTCTAAAGAAGGTGCGTGGCGTTAGCCACGCACTCCGAAAAAATTTTGGGGGTGCTTCTCAAAATTTTCGCGAGTCCCCGACCCCTAAAATCTGGAAAAAGGGGGCGTGGCGTCAGCCACGCCCCCGAAAAAATTTTTTTTACAATGCTAATTTGAATTTATAAAAAATTCTAAAAATTATTTTGATTATTTACAAAATAAACAAGTCACATGCACATTTTTATAACCCATATAAGTAACTTTCACAAATTTCGCGACCCATTCTCGGGGGGGGGGGGGGGGGCGCGCGCCCCCCCCCCCTCGGTACGCCACTGCAGTATACCTACCGCAACATTATATTACAATATCCCGAACCCGGACCACTCTTTCTGGAGCTTCGCCAAGGTGCCAGAACCCCGTAGAATTCCACGTATACTGGCAAAGCTAGACCTTCAGGAAGCTTACGACCCACCGTTGGGTGTTGTGTTAATCAAATTATGATAAGCAAGCATCTTATTTCCATTTATACTGGTGAATTTTTTAATTTTTTTGGAATTTCCAAAAAAATTTAGGTGCTTTCAAAACCGTGTTTCCTCTTCTCCACAATTCATAAAGATTGAGAAGCTTCTTAAAAAGCCGTTTAGCGACTGCCAGCCATTCTCCCTTCAAACAGAGATTTCCTTGCCGCTTTTATGTGATTTATTCTCACGAGCAGAGGTGTGCATCGTAAGGAATTACCCGCGGACATGCAGCTTCAAACAATTTTACTGCTATAGAATTATGCTAAGACAGCAGATTGGTCACAATTTGCTCGGAATTATCACCACTTTGTACGTGTCTGCACCTACATATTCGAGTTTCTTAGAAATTTCGATAGTTATTTCACTTCTTTACAAGTGTAAAAAAGTGTGCATTTTCTACTCCAAGATGTTCGCAAATCCTTGGAAGGGCGTCTCGCCCAAGCGCCACTGTTCGCAGCATCCTTTCCTCGGTAGTGCCTAAGGTAGCACCGGAAGTTGCCCATGCCCGAGCCGTGCTAGCGCCCTGTCGGAACCCACGTAGACGCCCCCGCATGATCTCAATATTCCGGCACGGCGCTAGCACGGAGCTGGCATTGGCAACTCTAGATGCGAAGATTTACTCAGTCCTCTTTATGCATGACAATGTCCCGAATTCCCTCAGTTCACCTTTCAGGGAATTCGTAAAACGCAAGTTTTCTTGAATACCGCTCAAAAATAATGAGAAAGACTTTTGCAACTGCATCAGTAAGGAGATCCGCTCCTTCTTATACACGCGCGTTTTCAAAATTTTCGAGGTTATATACCCGCAAAAAAAACTTAAAAAACAGAATTGTTGAAAGGAGGGAAATTTTCACTCCAAAAAATCTTCTCGGATTCTAAACAAAATTACCCGAACTTTCTCCTAGCTTCCTTATTGATGGAACATCTGCGCACTTCGACCGTCTCTCAATCTGGGAATCAACCTTTGCTACAATTATCGCAATTTTTCTATTACAAATGATGCGAAGTTGCTATAGGAGCCTGCAGGATCGCGAGAGTCGGACGTGCGTACGGCCATTGCGCCGCGCACGTCTGATGCCACTAAGGCAGGTGCCAGACTTACCCGCTTCAACCGGTTCGTTCGGTTCATAGGTCAAATCACTACACTGTCCAACAGAAAAGGTGGTTAACCGAATGGACCTGTTGAACAGGAAAGTCTGGCACCTATCTGAGTCGTTGGAGGCGCATCTGACGTGTGCCGCGCAATGGCCGTGCGCACGTCCGACTCTCGCGATCCTGCAGGCCCCTATATATTATCGCTTTTATTACTGTACTCATTGCAATACGTAGATCACGATAGATACGGTATATAACGACGATATAAGCACCAAAGCAAAAATTACCAAAAAAACAAATTTGTCGATTTATTTCAAAATTAGCCAAAGAGGAAAGCTATAGGCTCCTAGAGATTAGTAGTAAAAAATAAGCACATTGAAGAAGCCAAATAAATGAATTTGATGATACAGCGGATTTACTGCGAAGTCGCCAATCGAAGGGCTGACTGACGTTCATGAAATTTCCAATCATTGTCCCATTTTACGGTACAGCACATCCTTGATTTCACCTGCAACTTGCGAGATAGCAAGATTTCTAGTCTCTAAATGTATTTGCACTACCTTCGTCACAATTCCCTTCATGAACCGCATTTCATGTTTCACATGCTTCCACTCTTCGTAATTTATCATGTTGCTGTGCGTATCCACATCTCTAAATTTTCTTCCACAGTCCTCACAGTTGCTCTCCTCTCCCTGCTCTCTTTCTGCCATTATGCTCATACCTTTAAAATGTCACGTTGGTTCGGAAAAAGATGATGGAACTTAAGGTAGACTGTATGCAGGGAATTCAATACAATAGCTCATAATATGTTAAGTCACCAAAATCCCTCCATATCGCCATTTCTTGGTTTAGGTTGAAACGATTCTGAATCCAAAGACGATCGCTCCAAGCTTCGTATCTTCCAAACTGACAGTCTACCGTACCCAAGCGTACTCAAACACTTTCCCATACATCAAAGGACGCTATTCGCCGCCGAATCGAAGGCAAATACCCTTAGGTTTAACATTCTCTCATTCTTAACCAAGATATGGCGAAACAACGATGGCTTCAGTCTACTTGGGAGTGGTCAACTTTCTGACAAATCAAAAAAATTCCTAAACTCTCACCTGGCAAAAAATTTCCATTTTGCTTCAACGGCGTCCTCCTTCCACATTACCCAGTCGCCTACGTGCAGACCAGGTGAGCACATTTTCGCAAGTTCGGAAAGATTGTAAAACTGCAAATGTCTACAGTTATTGAACTGCATTCTGAAAAATCAATGATAGAGGGTTTGCAAAACTATAGACAATTTTTGTAATATTATACTTAATAGAACTCAAATCGAGATCGTGATTTCGATGAAAAATTCAAGGGGTTATCTAATATATATTATTCAACCTACTATGGAAATGATATTTATTTTGCGTGGTGTGCCTTTTTTCAAGCGGTTACGGTAAGCATACGGTACGTGATCAAAATCCCAGATCTCGTTGGAACTTCGGCAGAGAGCTCATGCAGCATGCTGATCATCCATATCACATTTCGCACAAAAGCGTCTCCCTTCATGGTTAGGTGAGTGTACGGTAGGCGGTTGAATTCTAGATTTGGCTAAAGTTTTGTCTAGAGGGATTATTCGAAATGCTGTTCACGAATATCGCACTCTTATTGCATTTTGGACTTTTCGCATAGTTACGGCAGGTATATGACAAGGGGCCAAAGTCGTAGACCCGCCTGAACTTTTGTGCACAAGCGTTATCTGATATGGTGATTACGAATATCGCATGGCCCGAGAAGAGGAAAGGTGTTTATTTTAGCGCTACAGGTTATCATAACTCCGCAAAAAGGCGCTATTGCATGTAGCAAGCATGTTATTCGTAATCAACACGCTTAAAAAGCCGTTTAAGCAAGATTTTGAGCAAAATTTGAAATTTGATCCATCTACCATATACCCACCGTAACTGAAGAAAATGGCGCGACCCTGCCAAATCACTATGGTATATGTTTGCACGTCGAACAACCCCTCTAGATCAAATTCCGGCCAAATCTATATTTTGGCCCACTATTTACACCAATGTATGAAGGGAGAACGTTTCTTGCGCGAATAGTGTGATTCTCGAGATCAGCATGCCGCATAAGCCCTTCGCGCAAAGCTCCAGCAACGTCTGAAACTTGACCCCTACCATATGCCTGTCTTAACCCTCGAAAAAAGGTCTACCATGAGGGAAGAATATTGTTCTCGTGAGCAACAAAAGTAGTCCTCCCCCCCCCCTCCTCCCAGGTGAATTTTTGGAGAAATCCGCGAGTGAATTTTAAATTGAGTGATATAGCATCAAATTTTTTCTCAAGATAGTTCCAATCAGAAGATTTCCAACATGGCGGAATAATCACAATGAAACCGTCGTACATTTTGGTCGTATATCGGAAGCATAACAGTCAGAGACTGAAAACATCAAGATTCCGACTAAAATTTCTATTGCGACTTTATTTGAACCTGTTGAGAGGCAGCATTTTTGTGTGAACTTTATATTTTTATCAATCCCAGTGCTGTGTCTTTCCAAATATCGAACAACAAATTTAAAAAATCCAAGTTTATCAAGATCTGAGCATGCGACGATTTTGTCGCGACGATCTTTTCGCTGCGGCGATCCAATGAGAACCCTCGAGATGAGAGTAAATTCGAATATGTTTTATTTTTTTCGTGATAGTCAAGTTGAACCAAGTTACAAGGTTCAAGTGATTTCCCTTTCCACCCAAATTGCGAGCAATGTACAGCGAAAAACTCACATCTGCCTCCCTTCGAAGGCATTCCCTAACGTCATGATCTGTTGGAACGGCGAAATTCTCTCCATCGCGCAGGTAATCCAGTACCTCAAAGATGACATTCTTCAAATGTTCCCAATGACAAAACAAATCTAGTGCATTACCTTTCCAAAATAAGTCGGATTACGATCCACAAATATTTCTTCCTGGTTTGATTGATTCCAGCGATTCGAAACCAAAGCGGAAAGCATCTTTAAAACCACGTTAAGCACTGAAGATTAGCAAAAAAGTGATTTGATCTACAGTATCATTCAATCTTGTCAATGTGGAGACTGTAGTTTCGAAGATTGTTCCACCCACGTTGATTCTCAATCTCCCCCCGGTCTTGGACTGTTCACCCTGATCTGCCTGAAACTACTTTCATCACTGAAACTGAATATTTGGCTGAGCTTGCAAAAAAAACTTGCCTGACTTGGATCCTTCACTGTGTGTCTGCTCGGTTCGTCGCGATTTACGAAGAAACTGATGCATCCCCATCCAAAGCAACTGTACTTTGAGTGGGTCTCAGAGCGAGATCCGCCTGCCTCGGACATCTACGATATTTCACAATCGTGAAGACCTGCCCTCAGCCACTCATAGGCTGCGTTCATATTGATTCCCATGTTCTGTAACTGTTCCCGCACAGTTCTCGCACTGTGCGGGAACTGTGCGGGAACTGTGCGGGAACAGTTCCTGAACTGTGCTGCATGCGCTGCAGCCGCCCCGCACCGTTTTGAACGGCGGGAGTTGGAGAATTTTGACCGTTCTCAGCGGTTTTTCTTCCAGATTTCGCTCATTTTGGCCTCAATCCTCCACCCCGCTTCCCTTTTTGATCGGCAGCACTGCGAACTCGAAGCGGGGTTGAAGAATGAGCGCTTTTCTGAGCCGTGTATTCGGAAAGATGGGCTATCGTGCGATTGTTCATTCTGTCTTCTTGTTTTTTGCTCAAAACTACTTCATTTGTTCCAGTAAGCGGCTGCCCAGTTTCCATAGCCATCTGCCACGAATTAGGGAGTAGGAGAGATCCTGAAATTGCATGAGTTGGGACTTGTCTCTTGTTTTTCATGATTTTGGGCGTTCTTAGCCTTGTTCGTTTTTCCATGTCGTTGCTTCTCCGTTCTTTCTTCTACCCCGCTTCTCCTAATGATGAGAAAAGCTGTGAATTTGAAGAGGGGTTGAGGATTGAACGCTGTTCTGCTCCATGTATCCGGGTATATGGGCCTTCGTGCGCTCGTCCATTCTCTCATCGCTATTTTTGTTTAGACCTATTCATGTGTACTAACAGGTCGCTGCGTAGTCTCGCATCTGTATTGAAATTGAAATAGACAAGTCTCAGGAACACATGAAGTAGGTCTGAACAAAAATAGCGATGAGAGAATGGACAAGCGCACGAAGGCCCATATACCCGGATACATGGAGCAGAACAGCGTTCAATCTTCAACCCCGCTTCAAATTCACAGCTTTTCTCATCACTAGGAGAAGCGGGGTAGAAGAAAGAACGGAGAAGCAACGACATGGAAAAACGAACAAGGCTAAGAACGCCCAAAATCATGAAAAACAAGAGACAAGTCCCAACTCATGCAATTTCAGGATTTCTCCTACTCCCTAATTCGTGGCAGATGGCTATGGAAACTAGGCAGCCGCTTCCTGGAACAAATGAAGTAGGTCTGAACAAAAATAGCGATGAGAGAATGGACAAGCGCACGAAGGCCCATATACCCGGATACATGGAGCAGAACAGCGTTCAATCCTCAACCCCGCTTCAAATTCACAGCTTTTCTCATCACTAGGAGAAGCGGGGTAGAAGAAAGAACGGAGAAGCAACGACATGGAAAAACGAACAAGGCTAAGAACGCCCAAAATCATGAAAAACAAGAGACAAGTCCCAACTCATGCAATTTCAGGATTTCTCCTACTCCCTAATTCGTGGCAGATGGCTATGGAAACTGGGCAGCCGCTTCCTGGAACAAATGAAGTAGTTTTGAGCAAAAAACAAGAAGACAGAATGAACAATCGCACGATAGCCCATCTTTCCGAATACACGGCTCAGAAAAGCGCTCATTCTTCAACCCCGCTTCGAGCTCGCAGTGCTGCCGATCAAAAAGGAAAGCGGGGTGGAGGATTGAGGCCAAAATGAGCGAAATCTGGAAGAAAAACCGTTGAGAACGGTCAAAATTCTCCAACTCCCGCCGTTCAAAACGGTGCGGGGCGGCTGCAGCGCATGCAGCACAGTTCTGGAACTGTTCCCGCACAGTTCCCGCACAGTTCCCGCACAGTTTCAGCACAGTGCGAGAACTGTGCGAGAACAGTTCCAGAACCTGGGAATCAGTAGGAACGCAGCCATAGTCACAAGCAAAAGAGGACATGGAAGGATTGTTGATGCGCACAAAAAGAAGGGGCAGAAGTCTTGGTGTAATGCGTTCGCTGATAACGTAACAGAATTGGTTGGAACAGTGTGAAAAATTGTTTGGGAAGCTTGGGGGGGGGGAGGAAGAGATAGAAGGGCTACTTAATGCTAGATGCAAAATATCCTTCCTCGTTCGATATAATCCAATGTTTATACTTTATGGGTTACTAATCAATACTACACAGGACGTTTGCCTTACTACAGTAATCCTTTACTGTAGTTTACCTTACTGCAGTAATCCCACCGGAAAGACCAGCACGCGAATTGGTTTGCAGTTAGCATGAATCAAAATACCTAATCATTCTATTGAATGGCCCCCCTACTGTGCAATGTTTTTCCAAGGTCCGAGACTTTGAGATTTTGGTGCTGAGTTACGGTATTCTTATATATAAAGCTGAATGTCTGTTTGTCTGTCTGTATGTCTGTCTGTCTGTATGTCTGTGTGTACGTATGTTCCGAATAGAAAATTCCATTTCTGAACCGATCCGGACCAAACTTGGCACACATACACTAAGGGCCCCGGCGGGTGTCATAGGCTACTTTTCGTCATCGATCGATATCGATTTTATCGATTTTTTGCAAAATTTGAGCTACGGGGCTGGGAGTTGGCACAGGGGGGGGGGGGGGTAATCGAGCATGCTGATTACGAATACAACATCAGTTTTTAAAATCGTGCATTACTTTTATCGATTTTATCGATTGTTTTGCAAAGTTTGAGCTACGGGGCTGGATTTGGCACAGGGGGGTAATCGAGCATGCTGATCACCCCCACGGGGATGATCAGCATGCTCGATTACACTTCTGTGCCAAATCCCAGCCCCCTAGCTCAAATTTTGCAAAAAATCGATAAAATCGACATCAATCGATAACGAAAAGTGGACTGTGACACCCGCCGAGGCCCGAAGTGTATGTGTGCCAAGTTTGGTTCGGATCGGTTAAGAAATGGAATTTTCTATTCGGAACATACGGCGGAGCCGGGTATGCCAGCTAGTACGAAATATGGCGCAAAAGAAGCGAGGTGACGCAAACAGTTCGCTAAATACGATACTGGGCCATTTTCGCAGATACATTTCTTGGTTTTGGACCAATCTTTTGTGCTGCAGTTTGAACACTGCCTTACCTAAGGCCCTACAATCAGTTTCCGCGTAAAACGCCACACAGCAGGGCATGAACGTAGCCTGAAGGCAGAGAATTTTCGTAACTTGTCTTACATCTCATACTGAAGTCTTCTTGGAATTTTTTCGCTGTGAATTTGCCTATGAAATCACCTTCAAAAAAGTACTCACAAATATTCTGGTAGGCTGAAGGACATCTTCAATGAGCTATCACCTTGAGGAATCGTAATTCTCGTCCATGCGCATTCTTAGCGGGAGTTCTAAGTAACTATTATTTACTTTAATTATTATTACGATTATCATTTGACAATCACTTTCTCATGACGGGCCACTGCTTCAAAAGGGCAAGTTTGCCGAACTGAGCCGCTAAAATATTCAATCCTGTCGTTCACCTAGATCTTCGAATTTCTAGGCGATGAGGGTTTCACAGAATCGGAAACTTTATCTTAACAGGTTAAAGTTTAACAGTTCATCGGACTGTTATCGTTAGCGCAAACGTTCTGTTAGATGCTAAATAAGATGCGAAGTCGATACTTTCTCTTCATAGAGACTGAAAGAAAAATCTATCTACTTTCGGGGGTGAGAATGATGCTCTCTGTAGTCAAACATCATTACATTTGATATTAAAGAACTTCCGTACTTTTCTGATATTACTTCGAATTATCCGAAACGATTCGTGGCTGGAAAGTGAATTACAAAAAGCACTACCTCAACAAAAGTACATAATAGTCCATCTACAAAAATACGCACATTGTAATTCTAAGTTTTATTACGATAACTCAAAAAATAATGACTTTTTTGTGACTTTGAGGAAGATAGCACCAGAAGTGATACGATGCAAATTAGCTATGATTCGCTAACGAAATTACATATTGTGATGCACAGAATATGTAAAATACGAATGTGTAGGCTAATCATCGCACGCAGAGGCACGCGACACTGCGGACGCTGTCTGCTTCTCTCAGATCAAAAGCACTTTCATCCCTCTCATCATCTAATGTCTCCGCTTAACATGTACTGTTTTGATTACGGTAGTGCCCGTCTCTGCGTGCGATGAGTCGGAGTCTGGATGACAGTTCTTGAAGGCAGCGTCCAGGCAGAATCTCGACCTCTATTTTTTCGCGTTATCCAAGCCTTTTCATGATGCTGATTCCAAATATGGCACCCAAAATGCGTGAATTCCTCAAAACACCCCATTTTTGAGACAATTTTATGAGAACCGTGGACGAGTGCCTTCAATGCTATCTTTGTCTGAAACGAGCTCTAACAGGTAGAAACTATGTGTTATATTGTGTTTGCCATGTGTCCGCCATTCTGTCGGACGGTCCGCCTCCTTGAACAAACTCTCCCCAGGCCCTGACGTGTTTTCACATGGCAAACACAACAGAACACATAGTTTCTATCTGTTAGTGCTTGCTTTAGACAAAGACAGCACTGAAGGCACTTCACGGTTCTCATAAAATTGTCTCAAAAATGGGGTGTTTTGAGGAATTCACGCATTTTGGGTGCTCTATTTGGAATCAGCATCAAGAAAAGGCCTGGATAACGCGAAAAAATAGAAGTCCAGATTTTGCCTGGACGCTGCCTTTAAGCTAATCTATTCCAGTCTCAAATTATCTCAGTCGTAATATGTGTCGATTGCATACATGCATTTTGCACGTCCCATCCCAGGTTTTCGTGAGACTTTCCAGCTTTCGAAAGAGATAATCAGCGAGACTTTGCTTATGCAATAATCAAAGTGGGAGGCGAGACAATGTAGCGTGTGCAATCGCACATAGGATACAATTAAGTGCCATAATTCATCAATGAACCACTGGGAGTCGGTTGAGCGAAAGAGGCGCACTAAACGACGAACATTTGGCACTTGGTGTCGCTTAAGCGTCGGTCGCAATCTTCTCTCTTTAACTCTGAACTTATCCAATACGTCAACCTCTTCTGTTAATGGCCATTATCCTTACTTACTGCATGTAGGCATCTTTTTCGCGCGACACCCAATGACAAACGCTTGTTGTTTAGTTGGGACACCAGCGCACAATCAATACTGAAGCGGTTCATAGGTTAAAGCATGACTTTGTCATCGAAGCGAGTGTATGCTCAATGATCGAAAATTGACAACAGGAAAATTGGTTAAGG